AATGGTAATAATACACATAATAATACACATAATGATACATATTTGTTCCACATTTTTGTGGAACTGCCGCAAGGGTCTGTGCGGCTGCCATTCGGCGCCATGAGGTGACCTCAATACGGCTTTCCCCAACCGAAGTTAGGTACCCATTCACACCTGGGTGGAGTGAGGAAAGTCGTGTAAAGTGCCTTTCCCAAGGGCACAACGTCGGGCGCATGTCCAGACATGTCCTGGGTACGACTCGGGATCGGACCCGGGTCTCCCGGTTCACAGTCGAATGATCTACCACTACGCCACCCGACGCCACAAAGTATTTGACTTACAGTGAATACCGGTACAATGTGTAAATTGTAATGTGTAATTTGCCCTGCAGCAGTTCCTCAATGTGGACAGAACAGTTAGTACGAAGACATTATAAAATCGAATTGCAGTCACTTCAGATGGTAGCACCAGGGAAGAGTTCCGGAATTCACTTAGCCTTAGGATACAGTGAATACCGGTACGGAAAATAATATTCATGAACACGTAAGGGTTATAATATTGTGCATACATCAATCTGGACGGTTTACTAACCACGGCGATTTCGGACATGCCCTCTCGTCAGGTGATCTTCTTTACCGTCTGTCTGTGGCTTCACGTCGTCGCGACGTTCGGACGCCATGACGTCGGCTGGGTGGACGTTTCCGTCCCCGAAAACGCCGCAGTCGGAACAAATGTCGTCCGTCTGTCGGCCGGACTCGGGAAGCGGTGGGGAGGCGTCGGCAGCCGGTGTGCGATCCTGTCGGGAGATCCGTACGGACGGTTTCTCGTCGATACGAACTGCACCGTCCTGGTGGCGAACCCCTTGGACGGATCCGTCACGTCGGAGTACACGCTGAGAGTCGGGGTCAGCAGCCGGCCTACAGGAAAGACTGGCGACGCCGTGAGGGTCAGGATACAGGTAGAAGACGTGGAGGGCTATCCTCCTGTGTACAACGAGAGCTGTGCGATGCCTACCAAGCGACCACAAAACGTGGGAGTCCCGTTGTCTTTTGGCGGCAGGTTTGACATAGAAGGTATTTATTTGTTTTTTATTTATCCATAGTATATATATATATATATATATATATGTATATAAAACCGAAGCTTGGTACTCATTTGAAATAGGCGTTCTGTGTCTTTTCCAAGGACACAACAACGAAGCCTGCTAGGGATGTAAACCCAGAATCTTCAGGTTCTGAGTCAATAACTAAACTAAACTAACTAGCTAAAGACAAGACCAGGTGCACCCTGCCACCTTTTATACATGTTCTTTCCAGGCACGACGAGTAACGGGGAGCACTTCAGCCAATACGACGGCATACCGGTGTTCGACTCGTGGATGAGAACCATGAAGAAGGAAGCGATCGTACTAGCCGAGGGCGGGGACTGCAAGTTCCACGTTGTTTGGGCCGTGCGATTAGAGAAGCGTCTGCGAATTTTCCGGGCACTTTGGGACGCCGGGCTGCGCCACTGCTCGTGTTCAGACGACTCCGGTGCGAACGAACTTTCTTACTCGCTTAGCAAGACCACAGAAGGGTTAGATATACCAGCCGAGTGGAGAGTGAACGGTGTTAGCCATATCTACCGGTTTACCGGGACCTGGGTTTCGCAGGGGTATAATCGTCTCGTTTGTAAAGTTCCATATTTTAGACAAAGCTTCAATATGGTGTTTCGAGATGAAAAGTCTTTTCAGATCGAGAGTGTGGAGATATTTCACCCAGTTCTGTATCCGGTCGGCTGTGAGGAGGGAAAATACGGCATCACCTGCCAAGAGACGTGTGTCTGTAAGAACGGCGCCCTCTGTCACGTCTTCAACGGAGCCTGCAAATGTACCCAGGGCTGGCAGGGCGTGGCCTGCGATATCCCCAGGCCTTCAGCCGGCATCGAGACGACGCCTAGCGGCCGTCAACATTTTAAAATCTCCGAGACCGTGGCGCTTCGCTGCCGTGCCCATCATGTTGTCGCCAGAACTCTGCACTGGCAGTTCCCGAATGGGTCAAAGACGACAACGCACGATTCTAATGAATCTGTGGTCATCTTTGACAAGCTCCAAACAGATGACGAAGGAAATTACACCTGCACAATAGTGACATCTACAGGAGAAGTGTTTGCTACAGCGTTCCTTCTGAACGCAAGTTGTCCCGTAGGTAAGAAAGGCCGGCGGTGTACAGAGGCTTGTGGCTGTTGGCGGGGCCGCTGCGACAGGTGGGCCGGCTGCATCTGTGGCGAGGGGTGGACGGGGCCCAGGTGCATGACGAGCTGTCCGGACGGCACCTACGGGCGAGGCTGCAGGCACCGGTGTAGCTGTCAGCACGGGGAGTGCAGGCCTAGCGACGGGAGCTGTAACTGCAGGGCCGGGTGGTACGGGTCGGACTGCGGGCGCCCCTGCGTGTCCGGCAGGTACGGGCGGAGGTGTCAGCACACCTGCGCGTGCCGCCATAACGCCAGCTGCAGCCACGTGGACGGCAGCTGCCGGTGTGCGGGAGGCTGGACGGGCAGGTTCTGTGACGTTGCAGCCGCGAAGGGCGCCGATGCCCGGCCGTTTGTGGAAACGCTGGTGCCGATCGCGCTGTTCCTGCTGGTTTGTCCCGTCGTGTTGCTGGTGTTGTACAGACGCTGCGCCAGGCCAGACGACAGCCAGGAGACCCGAGCTCTTCTCGAGCTGCGGCGCCTGGAGGCGGATCTGGCGCAGGGCCTGCAGCCTGGCTGGCTCAGACGCTGGGAGAAGAAAGCCCGAAACCTCCGGCTGGGGAACCTCGTAGGTACGGGGACGTTCGGAGAAGTCCGACGCGCGGAGCTTCGGACGGCGAGAGGGAAGATTCCCGTCGCCGCCAAGTCGGTCCGCGTGGAGGACGCGCAGTCTTACCGCGACTTTTACCGAGAAGCCGCCATACTCATCGCCGTGCACGAAGAGAAGGGCCACGACGTCCGGCGGTCCAACATCGTCCAACTCTTCGGCGTCATCACAAAGGCCGCTCACAAGTGCATCCTTCTGGAGTACGCCCCGAGCGGAGACCTGCTGTGGTTCCTGAGACAGCAGAGAGAAGGCGCCACAGCCGACACACACGCCGCTCTTCTCCCGTACGCCGTGCACATCGCCCGCGCCCTGCAGGAGCTGCAAAGGCTGCAGATCGCCCATCGCGACGTGGCCGCCCGGAACGTCCTGGTCACTCGGGACCACGTCGCCAAGCTGGCGGACTTCGGGCTGGCGCGAGACGTCTACGCCACGACTCAGTACGTGTCGACTCCGGGACAAGGCGACGGCGCCCTGCTGCCTGTCAAGTGGATGGCGCTGGAGTCGTTGGAGCTCGGGGAGTTCAGCTGCCGCAGCGACGTGTGGTCGTTCGGCGTGCTGCTGTGGGAGATCGCGTCGCTAGGGGGCGTGCCGCAGTACGGGGACCAGGCGCGGCTGACTGGGCCGGTCCTGATCGGGATCCTGAGGCGCGGGGTCCGGCTGGAGAAGCCGCCGCGCTGCGAGGACCGGCTGTACGCGGTGATGAGGTCGTGTTGGCGGGACGATCCGGAGGCGAGACCCGCTCCCGATAGTCTGGAGAGGAGGCTGGAATATCTTCGGCAGACGCTCGACCCCAATTTTGTCCTGGAAATGGAGACTGTGGTCTGATCCTTACTGTAAACAGGAATGGAGTACTTAGTTGTAAAGTTGAGGCTTTGTTTCAACACAAGAAAGAACTCGCCATAATTTCTCGGCCGATTCGGCTTGACCGAACGACTCTTTGACTAGATCGATTGAAAATTTATGGCGAGTTCCTTTCTATGGATTCGATCGCGACTAGACTGTGGTCTGAACCTTACTGTAAACAGGAATGAAGTACTTAGTTGTAAAGTTGAAGGTTTGTTCCAAGAAAGGAACTCACCATAATTTTTTCGGCCGATTCGGTCTGACAAAGTTTGACCGAACGACAGAACAACTCTTTGACCAGATCGACCGAAAATTTATGGCGAGTTCCTTTGTTGTGTTGGAACAAAGCTTGAACTTTACAACTATGGATTCTAATAACACAGATGAGATTTCATTCGGGAAATTAATGAAATAATCGATTATGATCCGTTTAGTGCACACATCGATAAATGGACGTATATAATAGCTTAGTAGGTCTGTCCTTGGTCCTGAATGCTTTCCGTGCAATGTTAATGGCTACATAGAGAGCAAATACATTATTCCGCCTGAACCAGGATTTAAGTCAACTTTGTTTGAGAACTCCCATTACAAAGTAATTTTACAATCTATCTTAGCCATGAAATAATGTGAAGTTCGAACATGTTACAAGACAATTGATATGTATAGAGGGTACCGAATACTTATAATACACCCGTAATTCAGACTGTAATGACTATAATGACTAATTTAATCCAGGTCTATGTGTCTGCTAGCTAATAATCACGCGTGTTTTTGTTGGCAGCCGAAATACTCCTATTCCAATTTTTTTGTCTGTCAGCCTATTATGTGAAGCAGGAAATGGCCAAGAATATTATTGAGCAATCAAATTTGTATTTGAGTTACACTCGGAGGACAGTAACTATTTTAGCAACTTTTATCGTTGGAGTTTGATTTGCCTATATATAGTCACTAAATTAGAAACGGATGAAAAGTCCATATTAAAGAGCAAAGCTAATATCCAGTGTCATGCATATAATATGAACCATTGACGCTCTGCGCTTGGTTTTCGATTGATACATATATAGCCCTCTCAAGATTTCAATAAATCTACGAGTGCACTGAAAACATGTCGTTTCCGTCTTCTCAAGCGCAAACCATCTGTTGTTGAAAACGCACGCACTAAAAATAAACTGTTGATTACTTTAGGCAAACATTGAACCTATAAATATTCGTATACTGAGCGCTCGATGAAAACTGCCTCATTTGGCGTACAACATTGGCAAGGCTGGGATCGGCTTACTTCGGAGAGAGACCGTCTTGTTTAACTGCATTTCACAACAAGAGATATTTTCACGAAAGAAGTATGCTGGGTCTACTGCTTGTCCTGTCTACCCTGCTGTATTTGAGGCCGGAAAGTGCAGGCAAGTACAAATAGATACCCGTAGTTAACATTTCTAAAGCGTAAGATATGACGAAAAACATCCCTGGAGATACTTTGGGGGTTAACACAGTGCTTATCACAGAAACCAGCTAGAGTTCTGTAGGATAAACGATCATACAAGGTAGGGGCACGGTCACCTCCATCGTGCGATCCACACGAGCGCAAAGTCGTAAACTGAGGGCATTCTTGCAACATGGAGTAGTCGCGCATGTTTCCGTCAACTATCTTGTTGTGAAAGTTAAAGGCTGCTTTAGATCTTGTCGGTGGTAGGTTCTGTCACAGCCTGTTTGAAAATTATATGGCATCAATATCTCATGATGACTTACGACAAATGTGGCCGAGGCCCAACAAATAATAACCTACACACAACACATGCATGTCTAGATGCGGTGTCAATCACTAATGTGACGGTTCCGGACAGAGGCGGTTGTGTGATACAGCATGCCCGCCCAGACGACCCTACCTGGGAGAACAGGGTGGAGTTCAAGTGCGAATATACCATCACACCTGCCCCAGCCACTCCTCCAACCATCACCTGGCTCAGTGTTAGTAAGATGTTTTTCATGATAATTTTTAAGAGCTTAGTGTGCTTAGTTTTGAAAGACCAAATGCCGTTTTGTTGTTCCAGATATCTTTATCTTATTCATATCTTTACCGCAGTTTAATGGTGCATTCTCAGTATAAATTCGACTGGATTCATTCCTCAAGCTAACCGACATCTTGCACACACAGTCGTCCCCGGCAGAAAGACATCAGGAGCCACATAGTTCCCGTTTAGAACTTTATTCAGCCTGTCTACTAAGTAATGGTGCAGTCTCAGTTAGTTGTCATTTTATTTTAAGGTCGAGTCATGTGTTTCATTGTATTGCACTCATGTCTGTATATAACGTTAGTAACAGAAAACGATTGAAGAAGGATAATGTATTTTAGTATTGAAGATTCTAAAGTTGTCAGTGTGTTTAATTCATAGCGCCAGGTCACAAACGTCGTATGACAAGCTGAGGACAGTTTTGGGATAGTGCGTGCCCTGCAAAATGCAGCTGTCTAGTTACGTAAAAATTTAAAGTTGTCTTAGAACCTTGTTGGCGATCGGTTCTGTCATAGTCTGCACCAAAATCGCACGACGAAGGTGTCATCGGACGTCGTATAGGCCACCTTTTGTTGATTTGGCTTATCATCCCTTAGGGAGCGTTCGCCGACCCAGACCGAGTGGTCATCTACAGGTTGAGTTCGTCAGGGGAAGTCTACGTCCATCCCTCGTTTGCCGGCCATGCCAGTATCGAGTCCCGAACCAGCCCGACCCTCATACTGACCGACTATATGGGATCGGGCCGGTTCTGGTGCCGTGTCACGAACGAGGAACAACCGGACGAGTTCGGCACGGACGAGGAGTCTCTCCTCTTCTGGTATTTGCGTAAGTTTAATATCTTTACTTCAGAGTAGGGAGGTATTGTTAAGGCGTGGCTAAAATGTCCAGCAGGATCGAGTTGTGGGTAAATGGGTGGCAAATGGAGGAATTCAGGACGTGGTGTGATACCCGATTACCCACCGTTGTCGTCAATCCCCTCCACAGTTTCAATACATTCACGAAAACCCAAAACACTTTCCGCAATAATCTCCAAGCAGATTCAGTGTGGGGCAAGGGGACTTTATGTTAGCCGCCTGTATCCATATACATGCATTGGCCTCCTATATCCAACGTTCGCCCCACGTGGGGCCAATGGATACAGGCGGCCAACACAAAGTCCTAGCCTCTACCAGACTAACTACGCTGGCTATAATATTTACCAGGGGAGTTTGGCTGCCTTGTAGGTTTGACTGGCTTCGGAGGGAAAGAAAGTATACTTCCCCGCGGCCGGACTCCCTTGGCCAATTTTACTCTCTCAGTTTTTGCCGAATTCTACGATTCCCGTAGAAAGGCCTGGTGAAGGCTAACAAAGTCCCCTAGTCCAACCAAATCTGCTTATTTCCGCAAGCCTTGTTACATGTTTGACATAAGTTAGTGCAAATGTCGATCAGAAAGGCCATATTCCAACCTCTGTATATTATAACAAACTCATGTTTTCTGTCCAGGCGATTTATTTGAGGCTCCAAAGCGTTTGTCCTTCGTCAACCTGGATAAAACCCCGGTCCGTGTGGGTGCTGGCGAGACGGCCCGGCTGGTCTGTGAGGGAACCTATTATCATGGGTCTTCCATCAAATGGCTGAAAGGTCCAAGTTGTTCACAAGGTACGGAATTAACGTGTTATAGCTTCTTCTTGAATTTGTCAAGAATGTTTAGCTTTCGTTTGCGTTCGTTTGTGTGTGTGTGTGTGTGTGTGTGTGTGTGTGTGTGTGTGTGTGTATGTGTGTGTGTGTGTGTGTGTGTGTGTGGCGTGTCAATACGAGACCTCCAGATGGATTGACACGGTTAGGCCTACTTGCGGCGTTATGTGGAAGCGCATGGGAAACCTTTGACCTGTCATTTTGCCTGTCAATCTTCCCCACCCACGTGCTGTCAACCTACTCTGTCCGGGCAAACAGACACACAAACCCACAGACAAGCCCATTGAAAAACCACATGCCATTGCTACTGCTGCGATTATGCATCTACTTTTCTTTGATGTTGGTTCATTAAAACGCAACATTTGTGTTTCTTGTACAGACGGACGTTGTGACGTATATGAAACGGTCGTCAACAAAACTTATACCTGGGTCCTTGACCCCGACCCGGGAACTCTCATCGTTTCACCGAAGTACGAAGGAAGGGCCTCACTGGGTAAGCGCCAACGGCTCAACTTCTGTTGGTCTCTTTTCTCCGGAGCAAATGTCGGTCTTTCTAGTTTATTATCGAACCTTCTATAATGTTTAAAGATATGAGAAACATTAAACTGTTGTTTGATAACTGTTGCTATTTTACATTCAAGGAATACATAACAAGTGACCGAAATATTCTCCTATTCTTTCGACCAGATCGCGACTACGCGGGCGTCTACACCCCGACCCTGATCATCACCGACATCCGCCCTAGCGACGCCGGCCGGTACTGGTGCGCTCCCGACCACGCATTGCATTACACCGATCTCGGGAACCTAAACCGGGATGCCCAGTCTGTGGTGGTGATCTACGATGGTCTGTTCATGATAACTGTTTATTTTTGTTCAATAACATAAGTTTGTGAGCGAATTTCCGTCTGGATGCCGTAACTAGAATGGATAGAACGAAGGCTGGAATACAGGTGGTAACGTTAACGTTATAGTTGAAACTCGTGTGTCTGACCTCCTAGCCTGTCAACCTTTCCCCACCCATGTGTTGTCAACCTACTCTGTCTTTATAAGCAGACACAAAGACACAGACCCAAAATAATACTTCCGTTCCCGGAAATTATTATAGAGAATCAAGATCGATGTCGTGGTGAACATTTTGCAAGATAACTCCACTTGTTTAAGTGTCCATTTTAACTCACTATTTTAGGCATCTTAATAGCTGATCCAATAAGTATTCGTAAGCAGACGTATGGAGGGAGCTTTTACACCCTAGTCAACGAATTTTTAGAATGTTGGCGCTTATCTTATATTTATCTTGTTATCATATTTAATAGATGACCAACCATCATGCGACGGAAAGCCGGACGGGATGTACCAGGACCCTAGCGACTGTTCTCGGTACTACACCTGCTCAGCTGGCGTGCTGCACGGCCCGACACCCTGTCTGAGCGGTCTGGTCTTCAACCAGGCGCTGCAGGTCTGCGACTGGCCATATAACGTCGCCTGCGTGTAAATAACACGGGTACGTTCGCGAGTAAATCTTAGTATGTGTATGAGCTATGGATTAGGTGGTATTAGCTGGTGTGTTACGCCGAAGGCTGGTTATACCTAGCCTGGGTACCATCCTAATTGTATGCCGGGGCTCCCACAGTCGCTTCCCTAACAAGTACTACTTCTTAGGGAAGCGACTGTGGGAGCCCCGGCATACAAGTAGGATGGTACCCAGGCTAGGTTATACCGGCTATACAGATACAGATATGGATCTGACATCCATAGCCATTTACTCCAGACTTGTGTGAAGATTCTTTATTGAACCAATTAAAAGTTGAAAATGAAGTACATGTATCATGTTGTTCTAATTGTTTTTGCTTAGTTTTTCATATAAGGCATACATCACATGGATTTTCCTGTCATTCAAATGTGATATATAGAACTAAAGGTAGCGTGCGTAGTCCGGTGGTTAGCGACCATGCTATGGAAGGCTAGCATCCAGGCTAAGAGAAAAAAAGTTCTCCACTACATCTCATCTACTTGCGATGCGCGCACAGCTACCACCCCTCCAGGGTTGATAGACACCGTGAAGGGCTCGCTAATCTGCACGTGCTGCCACAGATACCCGCTGAATATGTCCCTGATGTCGTAACCCAGCGGGTACTGGAACCCGATCCTCTTCAGTTCTAAGGTGTAGTTGGTTGGAGCGCCGTCCGCTCGAGTGTTCAGGAACACCGCCGCCATGTCGCCATCGTTACCGTCGTCAAGGTTACGCATCCACACCTGGATTCCGTTGTCCTGTTGATAAATAAAAAGGAAAGAAGCAAAGAGAGTAATGATAGACCAATCCCACCGGTTCACTTGTATAGACCGATTGCATAGCTTAGAAATACTTGGAGAAGCTTAGATATACAAATTAACAACATAAAATAACATGCAGCCACTCTTCTCATTCTCAAATCACTAATTGCCAAGTCATTGATTGAGCTAATCATGCTGGAAACTTCAGGACTGATCGATATAAACAGACATACGGAACACGTGTTTTCCTTATAAGTCCCACCATAGATATAATAGGTAAATAGGCCTGTCCTTGGTGCTGAACGCTTTTCGTACAATGGCTACATAACCTTATTTAACGGAGGGGATGGAAGATCTGCACCAAGGGTATGTGTTATGTGTTGTCTTAGGAATTGTTTTGCTTACAAAACAAAACACTAACGCAAGTACGGAACAAATATTTTATTGCATATCTTAGATTTAGTTACAGTGAGTTAAAAACGACAATCTTTGATGACCTAGTAAGTGTGTATCATCCACATTATCAGTAGTAAATTAAACCTTTCTATAATGTTTCCATCGGGTACTTACCCATAATTATACAATACAGTTTCAATACATTCACAAAATCCTAAAACACTTCCCTGAAGTCTGAAATCTCTGAATTTCTCGTTGTTGTCGTTACTTTGACGTAGGGACTGCGTACACCATCACAACTCCATTCGGAACTACACTGACAGTAAAGTTTTGAAACGTGGCACAGTGACCATAATCCTGTCCGTTGAACACATCGGTCAGTTGATAACCAAGTCCCGATCCGTCATGGAAATCCAGATCTCCCGGAGTTAGTGTGTAGTTGTAGGGCATGCCGTCTGCGCGTCTGTTCAGGAAGGCAACTCCGTAAGAAGGAAAGTCCGTGAATTCGATGGGCCTCGTCCACACGTCTATTCCGTCATGATCCTGTAGAAAAATACACGTAGAATACTATACTGTGTGTATCATCCTCGATCCCACCCCGGAGGACACATATTTCAATGCTGAATGTGCCAAAAGTCGACACAATATATTGTAGCATTTTAGCAATTCCAACGTTCGAATCCGGTATTCGAATGTTCGAAAGTTACGCGCACGAAACGCGTTCGAAATGTCCACCAAAAAAACTGACCCTAACATGTCCAGAACACGAGATATCAAAACCCGCTGGGTGCTGGTGCAGTGCCTTAGAAAGCTGCTAGGGCGCCCATAATTTACGTGGTATTATCCCTTCTTGCGCATATTAAAATGTACTATAACCTTTTAAAGTTCAGAATCTTGATTGGCTTAAGATTATTATTGCTGCTTAACACGTGTTAATGCATATGATAGGTTAGCGGGTCTGTCCTTGGTGCTGAAAGATTCCTCTACAATGGCTACATAATGGTAAAGGACAACCCTATTATCCCAGCTATAAAGCGTATACCGTGTAAGAAATTACCACGAAACAGCCTTGGCCAAAAACAAAAAGGGGTGGAAGATCGTGCAGCGCCGAGGACAGGCATATGTGTGTTGTCTTAGTAGCATCTGTTTTGCTAAATAAACAACACTGAAGCAAGTAAGCCACAAATATTTTATTGTATTTCATAGGATTGCTGTGAGCTAAAAAATACAATCTTTGATGGACTAGTAAGTGTGTCTCGTCAACAGTAATAAAGCCATTCGTATACCAGTTTGACCCAATCATACACCATTATCTGTAAACATAAACATAAGCGCAGCTATCAACATCTAATAATGTGACGCAGACATACTTAGCACAATGTAAGTGGCATGTCCACCAGTTTATCAGTCATTTTGTACATCATGCATAGGCTGGACATTTTCCTTCTGTCTTTGAGTGACAACCACTGTAGACCTGTTTCCATTTTGCTTACACTGGCACCATTTCGTTGTTACTGTTTCTCAGGAACGGCGTAAACCATGACAACTCCGTTAGGAACGATGCTGACAGTGAAGTTTTCAAACGGGGCGCAGTGACCGTAACCCTGTCCGCTGAACACGTCCGTCAGTTGATAGCCATATCCGTACGTGAAGTTGAGATCTCCCGGAGTTAGTGTGTAGTTGTAGGGCATGCCGTCGGATCTTCTGTTCAGAAAGGCGACGCCATAGGAAGGAAGCTCCGTGAATTCGATGGGCCTCGTCCACACGTCTATTCCGTCATGGTCCTGTAGGAAGATACACGAAGTTATCCCTGCTCTAGATGTATACACCCAAAAATCCCTCCCCTAACATGTCCAGAACAGGGAAGTGTTGCTGCAGTGCCGCTATAGTTTAATCATTTCTTCATTACGATGATCCACCTAAAACTTCTTGAGTTATATATAGTTATGCTGTTCACACACACACACATACACGCTATAAGGAATAGATAGTCGCTTATCATAAACCCTTCTCGGGGGAAATAAAGATTACACAAGCGAGTGAAGAGATATTATAACTTTATTAGCTTGTTTTTGTTGATTTTAGAGACAACACAGATACTGTCAAAGTGACAATGACCGCAAAATTCGACACCGTGTCAAGGTGAATAAAATTGTTTTGAACCTTCTTCTAAAACTACTAACAAGGTGATCTAATATTACCCTGATGTTTATTGTACTCGTAAGACAATATTGTGACATGGTCAGGTCTTTGCCACTTCCATGAACATTTTACACATCCTATTCCGACGGGTAGGCATAGATCAGCACCACGCCATGGGGATCCATACTGACAGTGAGATTCGAGTTAAGCTCGAAGTGACCAAGAGGCTGGCCGCTAAAGAGATCGTCCATGTGATATCCCTTCTCGTAGTCGAATTTCAGGTCCTGTAGAGTCAGGGTGTAGTTGTAAGGCATCCCGTCTGCACGTCTGTTCAGGAAGGCGATGCCGTAGGAAGCGTACTCGATGTCCCTCAGCCAGACCTCTATCTTGTTGTCTCCCTTGAGTGAGATAGAAAAACAAGAAATCGGAGATTTTTCACACTTCCGGGACGTACTTCATGATGAATATATTGGAACAAGGGAGGAGCGTTCGGCTCGGAACCAAGAGGTCCCGGGTTCGAATCCTGCCATGCCACCGATCTTGTGCCCCTGGGAAAGGCACTTTACACTAATTTCCCCAACTTACTCAGGTGAAAATAAGTATGCATGCCCATGCGTTTGTCTTGGTAGTAGTATAGAAATAAGTTTGAAAAAACTTGAGTGTGCCGTCGCTATGTCTTGTAATAAATGTTGGGTTACGAAGAAATAGATAATATACTTCAATGGGGATAAGGGTAGAAACTGTGTAATGTTAGATAGAGGATCGTAATTTTCGGATTCCCGGATTCCTCCATATGTCCACATATAATTCCTTCTGGCTCCTAGTCAGAGTCTGGGATCTTCAACTTCACTTTACACGTCTTTCCTCACTTAATTCCGGTGAAAATACGTATGTATACTGCCCGAGGACTTGACTTTATGTCATTGAATTTTAAATATTGAATGAACTACAAGAATCCATCACTTGATACCAAATACGCAATTCAAGAGACAAAAATTCTTTGTTTTACAAAATCGCCTTTATTCAAGAAACATTCGTTAAACTTCGTATACCTGCATATGAGTGGTAACAGCATTTATGAATGAAGCACGTTCTTGAATGTTAGTTAGCAGAAGGTTGTGCAACAAAACAATTGAAAAAAAAGGAGAAATTTCAGAATATAGTTTTGAGAAGGCTATCTTAGATCCTTGAAACCTCTTGAAACTCTTACAACATCAAAATCGTCATACGACGAATGCTTGACCACGCCTTTACTCGAAGGGATACGCATACAGCAGAACTACTCCGTTCGGAGCTATGCTGACTGTGAGCTCTCTGTACAAGCCATGGTGTCCATAATCGTGACCGGTGAATACGTCCTCTACGGCGTAACCCATCAAGTACTCAAACTTCAGGTCTGCCAGAGTGAGGGTGTAGTTGTACGGTTCTCCGTCTGCACGTCTGTTCAGAAAGGCGATTCCGTAGGATGGAAGATACGGGGTATCTATCTCTCTCGTCCACACCTCGATCTTGTCTTCACCCTTAAAGAAAACACGCAAGAAAACTTGGCTAAAATCTTCGAGGAACAAGAAATCAGAATTTTAGACTTCAGAGAACAAGAAACCGGAGGATAGGAAGCATACTCGATGTCCCTCAGCCAGACCTATATCTTGTTGTTTCCCTTGAATGAGAAAAAAACAACAACAAGAAAATCGAAGATTTCACACTTCGAGAGGGTGGGGGTACTGTGGGTTTTTGGAAATGTTTTGGACAACGGAGGAAATTGTATGATGTGCTTCTTTGGGGATAAGGGTAGAAGCTGTGCGGGGTTGTATGTAAGATACAGGGTCGCTCTTGGAATTCGTAGCTTCCTGAATTCCCTCATATGTCGATATCTAATTCTTGCTGGATCCTGGTCGGGTTTTAGGAACTTATTGTCTTCTTACCAATAATAACCCGTATCTTGTTACCAAATACGCAATTCAAGAGACGGAAAGTCCTTTGTTTTACAAACTCACCTTTATTCCACCTTTATTCAAGAAACATTCTTTAAAGCTAACCTACATGATGGTAACAGCATTTATGAAGGCAGTACGGTCTTCAATGGTGGTTAACAGAACGCGTACAATAAAACAATTGATAACTGAGAAAGTTCAGAAGATAGAGAGAATGCTATCTGAAATCCTTGTCAGTGGTTGGTTCTGTCACAGTTTGCTTGAAACCCGAGCTCCTACAACATCAAAATCGTCATACGACGAATGCTTGACCGCATCTTTACTTCGACGGGTAAGCATACAGAAGAACCACCCCGTTCGGAGCTATGCTGACAGTTAGCTCTCTGTACAAGTCATAGTGACCATACTCATAGCCAGTGAACACGTCCTCTATGGCGTACCCCATGTACTGAAATAAGTTCAGGTCTCCCAGAGTGACGGTATAGTTGTACGGTTCCCCGTCTGCGCGTCTGTTCAGAAAGGCGATCGCGTAGGATGGAAGAAACGGGGACTCTATCTCTCTCGTCCACACCTCGATCTTGTCTTCACCCTTAAAGAAAACACGCAAGAAAACTTGGCTAACATCTTCGAGGAACAAGAAATCAGAATTTTAGACTTCAGAGAACAAGAAATCGAAGGTTTTTAGACGTTTGGTTTTTCGTGATGGACCTTCAAGTTCACAAGTTTACAGACCTACGGGAACTGTTTTGGGAACTGTGGAGGGGATTGTCTATTGATCTATCTAGAAATTAAAGAAATGATAAAACAGCAATATTTCCATGCACAAAGCGTCATTTTATTGAAAATATGTTAGTATTACAAAAGTACAAAAGTACAAAAAAGTGGCAAATATGGCAAGTTTTCGCAAAACTGGTAAAACTCTAGTTTAGGCATGACAAAGGCAATATTTCAACAGCATATTGTGTAATGGCAAGCTATCAATGAACTTTACTGCACAACAGCTGCACAATGTAAAAACATGGCAAGTTTTGGCAAAAGTGCTAGAAGTCTATTTTAGACATGATATAAGTAATGTTTAACAGCGAACTGTGTAATACTATACCATCTTATCTGAAAGTTGTAAAAGGTAGAAAATGTGGCAAGCTTTGGCAAGAATTCTGAGAAGCTAGTCTACTTTAGACATGACAAAGGTGACTTCTGTATTGTAGACAGTGTTTATGTCCTTTATACGTTTACCATGCATATAATAGGTTAAGGGCCTGTCCTTGGTGCTGAACGCTTTCCGTAGTGCATTACGTATATTTCTAACCTAAATAGTTGGGTAGAGGAATTACATATGATAGCTATATAAGGATTATATTTGTATGACATACAAAATTGGACTAAGTGCTAGTAATGCACGCAATAGGCCAACGGGCCTGTCCTTGGTGCTGAACGCTTTCCGAATTGCATTATGTGTATTTTTGTATCTAAATAGACGGATAGAAGAATTTCGGATAATACTAGCAAACATATTACATTTGTATGGCATGCAAAATGCATTGGTCTAATTGCTACATATGATAGATTAAGGGACCTGTCCTTGGTGCTGAACGCTTTCCGTATTGCATTATGTGAATTTTGTACCTATATAGGTAAGAGTAAATTCAGATGCTATGAATTATATTTGTATGGCATGCAAAATTGGACTAAGTACTAGTATTGTAATGCATGCAATAGGCTAACAGGCCTGTCCTTGGTGCTGAATGCTTTCGACACACCGTATGCTTTCAGTCTTTTTTAGCTGGGTAGGCAAAGACCAGCACCACGCCATTTGGCACAATGGTGACGGCTAGCTCGTCGTCCGGGTGTAGGTGACCGTAGTACCGGTATTCAAAGGCGTCCACCACTACATATCCCATGGAATAGGTGAAATTCAGGCTGCCCAGAGTCAGAGTGTGGTTGTAGGGGGTTCCGTCCGAGCGTCTGTTTAGGAAGGCTACGGCATACGTGTCGTCTCTCTCGATGGGTCTTACCCAAGTCTCAATCCTGTTGTCTCCCTTCAAAGAAATTGTCAAGAAGAAATTGGAGATTTTTCAGACTTCCTGGAAGTGTTTTGACCTTTTCGTTGTTTGTTTGTTGACAAAAACACCTTGATTGATTGTGGATTTATTGATTGTGACTGTATTGGAACTGTATTGTGAATTACACCATAATATACCAAAAGTACATTGTAGCACTGTGTGACATAGGTTCCTCGTATTACACATTGGACTTGTGATTATCTCACTATTCATGGTCACTATTAATAAAAGGTAGCGAGAGAACAAAACACAACCATCAACAGATTCGTGAACAGAAAGTATATTTATTTGGCTTTATTTGAGTGTGTGAAAAAGGATCGTTGTAGCAAATCCAGTACATTGGAAACAGTTTTTCTAACGTACAGCACTTCAACGTAGCTACCATATGCTCTAGTGGCATATTCGGAGACCTTTTTGTGAGATGCTCTAGTCTATTTAAACGTTACATGTCGACGTCGTAGACCATTCCATAATGTCACAAATTAAAGGCAAAGACAAGGCTAGCTAGTTACATATTGGATCTTGCTTCACTTTGGCACATTTTATCACAACTCGAAACTTCAAGACCGATGCTGACCATCACAATTACATAGCAGTTTAACCAATGATACTTTCTATATGTCCATCAAATAGCTGCACTTCTACGTTTCGACGCCAGGGGGCGTGACTACGACACCGGTCTATTTCGCCGGGTAGAGCATGACAAAGACCACAGCATGAGGGTCGATACTGACGGTGAGCTTAGCGTCTAAGTTAAAGTGGCCGTAGCGACGGCTGGTGTAGACGTCAACAACCTCGTACCCCGTGGATGAACTGAAATTCAGGCTGCCGAGCGTGAGGGTGTGGTTGTAGGGCATGCCGTCCGCTCGTCTGTTGAGGAAGGCGACAGCGTGCGTGTCGGGCGACATGAGGGGCTTTACCCAGGTCTCCACCATGGTCTTATCCTTTAAATGTTGATAAAGCGAAAGGCAGTGTCAGTTTCTTCGTAATAATGATATAACAATGAAGAACTTTATTGTGCATTTTTGCCCACTGGGCTAAGCACATTCATACTATAAACATGTGGCTTCTTTTAGTTTCGAATTAAGATTCCGTGAAGTTGGTTAATCAAAAGATGGAAAGAATACAAAATCTGCTGCAGAGGAGTGTGGTTAAGTCTTCCTGTTTTGATTTGCAATCTGTGGCAACTTTGATTTCTTAAGGTGCACGTTACAAGATGATTGAAGCAGTTTAAAATATTTTTGTGATGTTTCAAATGTACGCTCGAAATCATTTTGGAACATATTACAATTTTCATGCAATAATCCATAGAAATAGTTTTACGTATACTTTCAATTAAAAACTTATGAGAATATGTAGTTCTGATATTGGTAATAAACTTAACTGTGTGTCCAGAAGGTCCAAATGAGGCTTGGTCAAAACAATCTTGAATCGCGAAAAATGGCATGACTTCCGGAAACATCATCAAGGATGTAGTGTAAACAATCTTACAATCAATCTTACACCTGTCACAGTTAGTTGGCAATGGCATCAAGAAATTGGATGTTTCAGGATGCATATTAGGGCCCTATTTGAATAATCAACGCTTTATAGTACTACATGTAGTACGTCAGTCATAAAGGTAAAGTTATAATTCAGTGAAAGTATGAGGTCGTGGCAATCTTGTCACTGAATGGATCATAGCTTATACCAGCTTGTTCAACTGCTATTACATCACCAGATCTTACTAAAACAATCATTGGTCTTCAGCAGAAATCAAAGCAAACAATAATCATTCAGTCAATCATTGGTACTGCTGACCCCTTGAATAATGTATCTTTATTGCTGATTCTCATAAGCACTATAATCATTTTATTGCAACTTCCAACACCAATTACAAGTGGTAATCATATAATTATAATCATCTGCACACCACAAAAATTACAATCCCAAATGTGCAATAGAATTGCTAGTTACATGTATATTTGATTCAACAAACTATTAGCATATTTTGTAATTTCATTCAAAAAAGTCTGTACTAGTGATCATGTAAGCAAAAAGCAGAAATCAAGCAAGCTAAAGCATCATATGATTCAACTTTAGAGCAAGAGTTTGGGCCTGGTCACATATCACAATCTGAGGGCATCCTTGGGATAGTTGTGTATGTGTCCTGCAAAATTCAGCTGTCTTAGTACAGAAAAGGCTGTTATAATCATTGTCAGTGGTTGGTTCTGTTACAGCTTGCTCCAAAAATTTGACGGCATTAAATCATTTGAAGACCTACATTGAATGTAACTGCACCTTTAGTGGCATATAAGTAACATACAGAAGTGCATAATAAAGAGCATCACTCCAAAGTATTCTTTGATGGGGCCACTGACAAAAACTAGTAAAAGCTAGCCCTGCATAGTACATGTAGTTCATAAATGAACTCTTAGGCACACCAGTGCACCTATTCAAAAAACTTAATTTTCAGACCCGTATCATGACATAGGTATGGCATATATCATAACCACCCCAGATGGATTAATATGCAGCGTCAAGACACGTTTTAGATCATAATGACCGTAGTGTTGGTTGGTAAACACTTCCGAGAGTTCGTAACCCATGTAGTATTCGAACCCAATCTTGTCTAGAGTGAGGGAATATTTGTACGGCATTCCGTCGGAGCGCCTGTTCAGGAAAGCAACGGCATACGAGGGGAAATCCTTGTTTTCTATGACTCTTGTCCACACTTCTATTCCGTGCTCCTGATTTCAGACAGGGGGAGAATCACAGGTTTGATTACAAGCAGAAGTGACATCATGGAGTGCAATTACATTGCAGCAAAATTATGGCACAGATACCAGCATTTTAAGCTTTAGTATGCTCTCTTAGTCGCTCCCCTGCAAAAAGACTGGACCAGCACATACTTTATCTGTTTGGTGATGACATCATGTAATGAGCTAATTCAATCATGTGCTGGGCTCTGCTGATTGGATAACCCCATACTACTGCTCAGGCTTAGCCAATTATTGCACATTTTCATATTCTGAACAAATATTCAAATGTCAGATGGATAGAACATGTGGGGCCGGTCTTTTTTAAAGAGTACTAAACTTGTCTTGTTCAGTACTGCACGTAGCATATATGTGTATGTTCCATCTTGCTTGTTTTCCAGCTTTTTTTGTCAAGGTCGATGTTGGTGATCCATATAGGAGTACTGACTCCACCACTGCTCTTATTTTCTAAGGAAATTTCTTTTCATGTTTCATGTTTCAAGATGACTAAACTTAAAAAGGCTGGCATCCAGGCTAGCAAAATTAAGTTTTGAAGCAGAATTACATCATTCAAATCAGCAGATCAATGAAAATCATCTTTGAAAGATACACACAAAAAAAACAACACTTACTCAAGCAACTGGATATGATTTTGGAAATCAAACCTTTTCGAGAACCATATCCAGTTGCTTGAGTAACTGACACCTGGAGGTCTAACCATCATCTACATGTCTTTGAAAGAAACTCGTAAGCCGTACCTTGATGATTCTCCTCCCCTGCATGCCGAGGGAGTCCTGGCTGATGCGGATGACCTCCTTGTTCATGAGGATGGACCGAGCCTCCGCAGAGATGGAGCGAAGGTCGTTGGACATGAAGAGCGGCGCGGCCAGGATCGCCCACATCGCCATCTGGGCTTTGGACTCCTCATAACTCAAGCTGTAGTCTCCAACGATCAGCTGGAGAAACAGAAATCAGAGATATCAACCTCCTCTGTCTGGACAAACAGGTACACAAATCCACAGCTCAGCCATCTAATAATTCAGTACACTGAAGTAAAAACTCTGTCAAGACAAAATATCATGTGGACACTACAGCTTTGTCAGCATTCCAGGAGCAACTACATGTAGTTTGAAAGGTCTTAGCAACATTTTTTACATTATAACACTCAAGTAAAGTAAAATAAGTTAGTTGAACTAGCATAGTTTAGTTGAAAATAAGCGTAAAGATCCCCAATATAGTATGCGGTTGATATGCTAAAATTTGCTGGCCAGAATCCATATTTTATATTATTTTGATATATAGATAAGTCCATGCAGACATGACCACCCTCAACCATGTCAGGTTGGGGTAGTGGTGAGGATGCAAGTGAAACCAGAGAGAGAGGAATGAGGCAAGTAAAAATGGTGTACTGTCAAGAGAAAGTGCATTATTAGTTAGTCCATGCAGAAGTGTCACCACCACCACCACCTGTGACCCACCATGTCCGGATCGTTCCAGTGCCCGGGGCCTGCGGCAGGACCCAAGATGTCCTGGTTGTTTCCGTACCAGTCAATGATGTTGGTCACACTGTCCCACGAATCCTGGATATCTCCATAGTTCCTCCACATGTTACAGTGCTCAGCTATAGCTGTGTAGTTCACCTGTACAGAAGTTTAAAGAAGTTATTTTCACAACCGTGTAGAAACGTTACAACGTACCATGTCGGGGTCGTTCCAGTGCCCAGGGCCGGCGGCTGGCGCGAGAATGTTCTGGTTGTCGCCGTACCAGTCGATAATGCCGGTTACGCTGTCCCAGGAGTCTTGTATGTCGTCGTAGTTTCGCCACATGTTGCAGTGTTTCTCCAGACTTGAGTAGTCAACCTACATGTACGTTTGTAGGTGAAGATGATTTTACAGCAGCTAAAAGACACATGTCATGTAACATAACTGTTCTTGGGTGCTTATAATTATATCAACTTCTCATCGTAACTTATCATTGGATAAGTCTTCACCAATTAAAAGCCTGGATCTCATATGAGTCAGCTGCATTTGGCCAATCAGGGGCAACCTGCACTTTGCCTGGATGAACCATTATCCACCCCTGCTTGGCCAATCAGGAGCCAGCAGCAATTAGCCAATCAGAAGCAAGCTGCACTTGACCAGTCAGGAGCGAGCTACACTTGACCAATCAGGAGCGAGCTGTGCTTAGCCAATCAGGAGCCAGCTGCACTTAGCCAATCAGGAACCACCTACACTGGTTGTTTCCGTACTTGGCCAATCAGGAGGCATCTACACTTCACCAATCAGAAGCCGGCTGTATTTAAACAATCAGGAGCCAGCACTACACCTGACAAATAAGGAGCCTGTAACTCATGGCAAATCAGTTACAAGCATGTTTTACAATCTTTCCTAAATTTATGGAGAAGTACATAGTAAAATGAACCTTGATGCCCCCAGCGTATGCCGGCCAGCTGCAGGAGAACAGGATGGGACGTCCCGTCTTGTTCATGTACTGTTCCATGTCTGGGTAACCTGTGGGAGGGAGAAAACACGGGTAAGCCTGGAAACTTCAATTCAACCATGAAACAAGAAATTGGAGATTTGAGACTCCTACCTAGTCCTAGGAAATATTGTAGGTTTTCGTGACCTTCAAATCTACAGACTTCCTGGATTCTGTATTTAGAGTTTTCGTGACCTTCAAGACCTCCTGAAAGTATTTTGGGTTTTCCTGGATGTATTGGAACTGTGGTGGGGATTGTATGATGTAATCTATTCCACCTACCATCCACTTATTCCCTCCATAGAGTTAGAAGAGTTTGTGCCCATTACAGTTTTGACGCCCGCAGCCAACATAGTACAAAAGGCAGTAATTTCGTCCTCCCTCCTTCTACTTCCATGTTCCTTCCAAGTAGATTTACCCCGGTAAAATTACTCCAGTCTAAACTCCACTTTTTTTCAGTAAAAAACTTGGGACTTTGTCAAATCATTGTCATTTGATACATTGATGAAGGTTAGACCTCCAGGAGATACACAAGGAAACTGTTACTCAAGTAGCTAGATAGATTTTAAATTCTGTCAGAAGTTTCAAGTAGCATTCACTCCAGTGAATTTATAAATGTACAATCATGTACTGTAAAATCAGCACAATTTAGTCGTGATGACTACAAAGTTGATTGCACAATAAAGTTTGAACTACTTTTTGTCAGTGACTGAGTCCTTGTGTACTGTCATTAGAACATGTTACAAAAATTCTGTACCCCACGACATGTCGGACACGTTGGCATAGCAACCGTCCATCTTGAGCAGGTCGATGCCCCACCCGGCGATGGTCTCTGCGTCCTGCTGCAGGTACTTGATGGACCCCGGGTAGCCTCCGCAGGTGTGCGTACCAAAGTCCAGGTAAATACCCAGCTTCAAGCCTTTAGAATGCACCTGTAGGCAGGAAAAATATGGTTTTTAAAATCTAATTTGCTTTGATTTATTTGCCAGGATAATACAATTGTGATAATACAATACATGTGGGGCACAGGCAGCTATTGCTGCAGGGTGTCCTGACCCGCAAATAAAAGATTACAGAACATGTAGGAAGACATAAATTGTGTAGACCTATGCCCTACAAATCACAAATGAAACAATAAATGCAATCTAAAAAGCAGCATAATAAATTTAAAATACAGCCTAACTATCGGTCAATTTCAATAGTCTGGTATAGTTACTTGTAAGTTGTAGTTTCAGTCCATAAAGTTTCTAACTGCCAGAATGTATTGTTTCAAATTGGTATACCATATTCTATACATTTATTTGTTGAACCTTCCTGACCACTTAGATTTCATATTGAAGGCAACTATTTTTTTTGTATGCTCCCATCAGATTTGGGTTGCCCAGAGGATGTCATCCAATATAATTTCAAATCAGTATAGCTCTTTATACATGTACTAACATAGTCTGCCAGTTTCTTGATGCCGTTGGGGAACCTGGTCTTGTTGGCGTACAGGTTTCCCTGGTCGTCCCGCTCCATGGACATCCAGCAGTCGTCTATCGTGATGTGATCATAACCGGCATCCTTCCACCCATCCTCAGCCAGACGGTCCGCCATCTGCATGAAGAGATGCTCACTGGGAAAAAACAAAAATCCGTGTTAGTAAGAAGAATCTTGGACTTGGAACCGGACATTTCTGCACCAGGTTTTAAAGAGGCCATCTACATCAGGGCATTGTAATCATTCCTCAACAAAGACACAAACTTTCCACCACCAATTTCTGTCAGTTCCCTCCTTACTTCCCTTCAATTACTAGTAACTGTAAACATGCAGACAAACACAACAAAAACAAAACCTCCATACACGAAATATAATCAAATAGATTTTAGATATATTTTAAGTTTAACCCATTGAAAAAAAACTCTATGTTGTTAGTGATCTATTTTCTTTCATTTTGATTCATATTTCGTTCCATTTCCTCCCATTTCACCCCACCTCGTTCATTTTGCACTTTCTGTACGAGCAAAATAAAGGCGTTGACTTGACTTGACCCACCTGATGCAGTTGTAAGGGTCATCAACACAGTCCACGTTACACCTAAACCTCTCCCAGGCCAGCCAGCCCATGGGGGGTGTCCGAGCCAGTCCGTTATCCAATGAGCTGCTCTGACACAAGAGCAATGCTAAGGCAACTGCTGCTGTAACCACTGCCTTCCACATGTTGGCAGGGTGTTCAGTTTGAACAGTGTCTTATCTGAAAAATATGGAGATATACAGCTCAGTTCTGGAAGCATTGAATCTCTGAGTTGTAACTTGTAAGTCAATTTGTTGTATACTGGTAGCTTGCCAATTTGATAAGTTAAATTTCAGCCGCCAACAGATTTGCTTTTAGGAGCAGTGTGAAGGCAACTGCTGCAGTTAATTACCACTGCCTTCCACATGTTGGCTGGTGGGGGGTTGAACTGTGTCTTACCTAAAAAATATGTAGAGATACATCTAAGTTAGTACAGAAGCATGTCAGCAGAACGTCATATTCCCGTATTTAGGATGACATTCTGTCTGTAGTTTTCGAATATCGTGTCCATAAAGATAATGATCTGCAACAGACAAAATGCTGAATGTAACTGCCGTGGTTACCACTGCCTTCCACATGTTAGCTGGGTGTGTTGGTTTGAACAGTGACTCTTATCTAACTATTCTAAGGAATATGGAGATATATTTAAGTTCTAGTGGCATTGAATATGGTGAGGCGATTTGTTGTATAGCTTGTCAACTTGATGAAAATCACATCTTATTTGCGGTAGCAAAATTTTAGGGTCTGAGAAAAATGTTCACGTAACTGTATATTCGCAATGGCAGCAGGTGCAGAAGAAAGCAAGTCGGCGAATTATTTGTTCATGGTAATGATAACTGTGAGCATTAAAGTGCCGTGAATATATAATAATTTACAGGACTGAATTGCAGCCACCTAAAGATCTGCTTGTAGATTTGACTATGAGTGTTTCCTAGCTACAGTTAAGGGCTGTTTCCATGTGACTAGCACCTGTTACAAATAAACAGTGCCCAGACATGTCCAGGTGTTGTTTACTGCTGCAGATTATTGATCAACAGCTAGAAACAATTTGTTAGCCAGACTGATAGCCCAAATGTGCAGTATGTTCTGCATACGTGCTGGGCTGCACACACTCCAAAGTTTGTGTTTGACCAACACATGAACATTCCCTAGCCGCGGCGACTGTTGCAGGGCTTCTCTTGCTTGCAGTCTTTTACATTAGCCCTGTTGTTAGGGCTAATGTAAAAGACTGCAAGCAAGAGAAGCCCTGCAACAGTCGCCGCGGCTAGAACATTCCCATGCATGAGAACAACTTCAAGTTATTATTCTGCTTCATTTACCCTATACAGATCTCAATTTTTACAGACCTCATTTAGAATTGATTGTATTACCAACTTGAAAGCCCTATTTTGATACACGTTTATCACAATATTTGACAATACATTGCATGTTATAGATAAACATTATAAGTCATTGCATTGGATCGCATGTGACCACAAGTTATTGGTAAACGTGGCTGTTGGCAAACTTAAAACTTCATTATTTTGCAACCAAAACACCACGATCGCGCAAGAAACCGTTGCAGAAACGATCTAAGAGTTTACCACAACAAATCACTTGAAGACTGTCAGTAACATTTATGCCCAAAGTGTTGCAATTTTGTATCAAAAACGCAAGAAAACAGGACACACACACACCTGCTACAACAGAGCAAACAGCTGATACAACAAGCATGTGACCCAGTCCACGTGATTTTCTCGAACACCGATGTTACAACAGTTCTGATTGGACATAACGTGTAGCCGTTTTGTTACGGCTGCTGATTGGTCTACGGATTGAAATCTTGACCAATCAGAGATCGGTGTGGAGTTCAAAACACTAAAAATGGCGGCATACACATGAAAAGTGAAATTTGTTTGTTTTGGTGATTGTTTTGGTCGCATTTTAAAGGAATTTTTGCCCAAACAAGGTAATGTATCGATAGAATTAATCAATTGGCGTAGGTACGATGTATTTGAATTCTCGTATGTTTGTTTTCCCCTGTTTTAGAGACCTTTTCTGTGTGCGTGTGGGGAGGGGGGCTATATTGAAGTAGGAAGTGGACTACATAGTAGTGCTAGTACTCGAGTATACGGATTCATTCTTGTACTTTCTGGTCTATAGTTATAAAAGTTGCAAGGGTACCGAAGTAACGGGTTCTTCACTGACCGCCCAGTGCGGAACTCATGGGGAAAGTAGCGTCGGCACTCGGGGCCCTGTGCGGAAGAAAGCTCCGCACTGGAATTCTAGTGCAGAAACGGCTTTGTTCCAGTGCTGAAACACCGTCAGGACTGGAATTCCAGAGCTGAATCTTGACTCGGCACTCGTTTTCCGGTGCTAACTTCCACTCAGCACTCGTTTGCCAGAGCTCCGAGGCCGTCCACCACTGGATAGCCAGCGCTCGGAGGCCGTTCACCACTGGATAGCCAGCGCTGAATTCCACTCGGCACTCGCTACCAGTGCTCGGAGGCCGTTCACCACTGGATAGCAAGTGCCGAAGTCCCTAAGTAACGGGTTCCTCACTGGATCGTTCCAGTGCTCGGTGACTCTTGGTGCTGGAAGCCGAGTTCTCAAACCATTTCGGCACTGGGCTTCGGGTGCTTACGTCGGCCGCGCGGCGTACAGTACAGTATCGTAGGCCAAGTCTATGTCTGTAAAAATGTGAGGATCTGAGCCTTGCAGTATACTTAGTAGTCCTGCCGATCACCTTGTTGTCCCGATTATAATTTGCCTATCCGGGCGGTACGATCTCGAAAATATAAGTGTTAGAGTTTAAAATTAAATAAATGCAGCATCTCGGTACCCTTTCTAAAGACAAGGTTTGATTTGCCGATTTAGAGTGTCCAGTGCTGAAGCCGCCGACACTGGGCACCAAGTGTTGACGTAACTTCGGCACTGGAGATCTAGGACGGAAGCCGCCTCACCTCTGTATACTGAGTGCTGAGAAAGGAACCCGTTACTTCGGTACTTTTGCATAAAAGTTTACGTTTCCATTTGCTTGTATACATCTTGTATCATGTATAATTCCACTGCTCCACTGGTCTCCAAGCAGAGGTTTGGTGGGTTTACGGAAAAGGCTGGGCAGTGTCAAGTTCTAGTAAATATACCATACTGGCCGGCACTTGAGGCTACCAGACTAGGCAAAATTTAGGCCTTTGTTTGGGTTTTTCTTGTAGCTTGAGCTCTTGTAAGCTTTTCTTGTAGACTAATAAGCTAAAAGTGTATATTCTTATGCTCTCACAAAACCAACTACATTATAATTTGTGGTAATGTCGCGGACTATGTAACGTTATCTAACCTGTGTTACACAAGCTGTCTCGGCCGGAGGTCAATGACCCTCACCCCAACCTTAGGGCGCTATGAGAGCGGTTTAGTCAGGCTAACTATGCATCCTCTTGTGTTTTGGATTCTAGCTAGTTGTACAGCTACAGGAAGATGACGTCGTCCCGTGAGGACTCGATGAGTGCAGAAGACCTGAGGCAGCAGCTGTTTCACACCTTCAGGGAGAGAGGCCTGCTCGACTCTCTAAAGGTGGGTATTCTTATCACAACCCTGACATTACTTTTGAAACAGAAAGTGTAAGAAAACAGGAAGTAAGCACTTTTTAAACTGTACAAAATATATCTGTCTACCTTTTTATGATACTGATCTATATATTAGATTCAGAAATCTGTCATATATACATTGAATGGCACAATGGCTTGGCTAGCAAGGACAAGATGAAGAGGTTGCTGCTTCCATCCCTGGCATTCCTAGCTAGACATTGTGTTGTTGGGAAAGACACTTAACACTCTCTTTCTTTCCTCACTCATGTCACTACACCCAGGTGTAAAACCTGACTTCAGTTGGGGATGTAAATGCAGTGGAAGGAGAGTGATGGGCTCCACCTTCTAATATTATACATGTGTAGTGGATCAACAAACCAAATGCTCCTAAAGCTTCAAAAAGGCTATGGCCGTATGGGACTAACTTTACATTTTACCTTATACTTCTTTCTATCTTTAAACCTAGCCTTTTATTTCTCTCTCTCCATTACAGAGTCAGCTCAGGAACAAGCTGATCACAGAGCTGCGGTCCAGCGGACGCTCCGAGCAGGTCCTTCGGCCGGTTGATGTTCCAGAGGGAGGGACGCTGCTGCATAGAGCAGCCAACAGCCTGGTGGCCGACCACCTGCAGATGTGCAGCTACGACTACTCACTGTCAGTCTTCCTGCCAGAATGTGGGATTTCAAGGGATCAGGTATGATACAGCTATCTAAAGGAGGACTAAGTCTTCGGGAGGATGCTGTTATTTTGCAATTTTAGGAAGTGAGAAGTGCATACCACTTTACTGAGTATACAATAATAAACTACCTTGAAGTTATTTGCACAAAAAAGGACGTCAAAACTTTCTAGATACTCTCTAAACAATCCCAATATACACAGTGCCTATGGTTGAATATAATGTTCCTGACAAAAAGTTATGTGTACGTTATGAAAATAATCTACTAGTGGAAGATGATAAGAAATTGTCTAATACTAAAGTAATGTATTCTTTGATATGCTTTTTAAGTGTTTTCATATTTTCTATGTAAATTTTTACTTTTCTAGTTGCTGACCACAAGGGACCTTCTACAACTCCTACGAGTCAATCCTCAGTCAAAAGTCCACAAGTCGTTGGTAAGTTGCTTTTGTTGTTATTGTTGGTTTTATCTGTTTTCTTCACATGTTCAACTTAGCCTGTGTTTAAAATCTCTTGTTGTCAGGGGGTTGGTGGGAGAAGTTAACAAGCCTGAATAGTTTTTTTTTCTCTCCTTGCAGACTGGAAAGCTAGCTGGTTCTTCCAAAGGTATGTAACCATTGCCTTCTAATTGACTCTGCTTGTGAGAACAGCAATTTTACACATACTGGTAGTGGCTCTGGCTTTTACGTCCCGTCCCATACAAAAGGACATCCCTAACTAAAGCTTTGGGGTACTAGTACTTGTTTTCTGTGTTGAGTAAGAAAATAGAGGCACAACACTGAGGCCTGCTTGGGATTCAAACCCAGAACCTGTAGAGTCAAGTCAACAACCCCAACCACAAGACCACCTGGCCACTTTATAAGTAGGAAGCTAGAAAAAATTACATGGAGACATGCAAGGGTATTATGAGTGTAAATTTGAATTGTGCCATTTTCCTTGCAGGTTTCCTGTGGCAGCTGTTGTGTGAGCTGACCTCTGCCCTCCCCCAGGGGTTACCTGAGGACATCGGGTGCCAGACAGACGCTGCAACTCTACCTCCCGCAGCTTCTCTCAGTAAGGGGTAACTCTGCATTTGTGGAAAGGAACTCTTAGTATCTGTATCTGAATCTGTATAGCCGGTATAAACGCCCCTTCAGTGTAATACATCAGCTTCGCAGGGTTAGGGTTAGGCGGCAGCTGGCTATATCACACTGAACGACTTGTTACACCTACCCCTTGAACATCTAACTCTAGACATTGTTCAGACCTATCTAATCATAATGCCCCTATACTTAGTGACAGTGAGTTCCACTCTGCGATAGTTCTAGGAAAGAATACGTTTTTGAACACCTCAATCCTTGGTTGATAACTCTGGGTACTTGAAGGCAAGGCATTAATGTGTTCTCTCTCATTGTAGATGACAAGTTGCGTTCAGTCGATGAGCGGTTCTCCGTACAGCGTGAACAGCTGGCGGCCAGCAGTGCGCTGACCATCGAGGACAGGATGCTGTCCTACCAACGCAAGGTCGACGAGCGCGCAAGGTCACAGGTCAAGCAGGAGGTAGGTCATGGGGTTGAATGTGAGGGGGGGTCAAAAGTTGGTATAGATAGATTTAATTTGATTTAATTTCTGCATGTAAAAAAGAAAATTTCAGACAAAAGAATGAATAACAACAGTTTCTAAAAGTAGGTAAAGTATAACTCATATAGCTTCAAATGATACTCCAGTTAGTCCAGTATGTCTATCTGCGACAGTTATTAAGTACATGTACAAAGGACATGTGATGGATAATTTATACTGCATGATAAGTGAGATAGAGTAGTAGTAGGAGTCATCCTTCCATCTCAAAAGATGATGAAAGAACTCTAGACCTGATGTTGTAGCTGTGTGCAGCGTCTAGTGTGGCTAATCAGCCCTACGTTCACTTGGCAGCCCTGGTCACAGTTGGGAAACAAGAAAGTTTAGATATTTTGTGGTGTGCTTTCTTTCCATCTGTCTGCTAGGTTGCCCACTTCAAGGAAACAGAGCTGGTTAAGATGAGACTGGAGGAGAAGGAGAAGACAAGAAGGGAGACAGATGCAATAAGGAGGGAGGTAAGACAGTCCCGGGGAGGCAGGGAAGGAGTGGATAAACGGTCTACACTGTTTTATTCTATTTTTATTTTATTCACATAGATCTGAGAACATTGGACAGAAAGCACATAATGTACTTAGGATAAACATAAAGGACACAAAATTGGGGTAACAAATACTGGTGACTGGGTCAATACTGTTTCTTCCTTACTCTGTTGCTCTCTGTCAGTCAGTCTCAAAAGACTGTAACTGCACAAAAACAGGATGGTGCAGTTCCTTCACAATTATGCTACAAGTACTAGAAAAGCAAATAAACATGAAAACGGTGAAAATGAAGCTACCAAATAAGTTTCGAGATTTATGTGACTGTGTACATTAAAGTAATGACAGGCCTTTTTAACCTACTTTCCTTTTCCATCCCTCAGTTGGAGCAGGAATACCGTAACAAGTCAGACGCTCTGCTGGCTCGGGAGAGGAATGCAATTGAGAGACTGCAGAAGCAACAAGAGGTCTGTACAACACTGATTTCATTATATAGAATTTCCTGGGCACTTCAAAACTGAAGGGAAACATATTGAAAGCAAATACGTAATGTTTGCACATGCTTAAGCCCAACAAACTGCTCAGTTTACTCTTACTAATACTAGTACTTAAAACCCATTCATATATATGGTGACCAGTGCCTCTAACAGTTGCTACATAACGTAACCCAACACCAACAACTGCTAAAGCACCAGTTACCATAGTGACAGCCATCTGGTCCAGGTCATTGACCTTACTGTGTTTGGAGAAGAATAAGAATACAAAACAGAGCAAAAACAATGCAAACATAAAAAAAATGGGCATAAAGAGCTTTCTAAGCTAACATAACATGAGCCATGTGCCATGGTATGTTCTAGATCCAGGATAAGGAGATGCACGCCTAGAGAAGAAGAAGAAGAAGAAACAGAGCAGAAACAATGATAACATAAAAAAAAGCTGTGCATAAAGCAGTAAAGAGTTTTATAAGCTACCCTAACATTTTCCCTGTGCTGTTCCAGATCCAGGATAAGGAGCTGCATGCCCAGAGACAGGCGATACTGGAGGAACTGGAGACAGTACGGGGCAGGGAGGCTCAGGTCAGGAGGGAGGCGGAGGTGAATGACAGGTAAGGACTTGGAAATAAATATTGCATTTCTGATTTCAGTGCTGAAAAAATACCATTGGTAGGCAGGGATTGTCATTTCTTTGGTTTAAATTTTTGCTGGACTGATCCAACAAGTACAGTAAAACTGGATTACCTGAGCTCCAGGGCTGTTTTCAGGGCCAGTCCCTATATTTGCTTGTGGGAAAGTGACAAATATTTCACCTGATTCATTAAATAAAGATGTGCTTCTGAAAATGAACAAAACAATGTTTTAGGGGGTTTGACATTCAGATGTCAGATTGAGAATTTTTTGCCCTTCGCACGAGTCAACCCCAAAAAAGATAGTGTTGGTGGGTGTTTGCTAGGGAAGCCAAAAACAGTTTTCCAGGTCTTACTCATACTCATGAATTCTTTGACTTTCCAGAGCTGTACAGATTGAGCAGGACAAGATGAGGAGTCTAGAAGAGAACGTCCACCGGCGTGAGGAGGCTGTGAAGAATATAGAGGAGACGTACGAGAAAAGGCTGAACAATGAGATGATGAAGTGAGCACCATCAGTCCACACAAATTGGAATTTTTGGATAACATCTATTAATGCTTTGAATCTGTGGCACTGTTGACGTAGTGGTAAGAAGCCCCTGTCACCTATAGCCAACCTTCTCAGGACCGTGGTTAATCAAGAGCAAGGCATTGGTTGGCGATGTTTGCTACTTGCTAGCTTTAAAAGCAGACTGTGCAGAGTTTTGAAAAATCAAACTCCAAAGGGCTTAACACAAGTTAGTAAGTGTTGGTTTCCCTAGCTACTAGTAGTATTTGGATACTGATAGGTTTTATTATGGGTTCACCACACCACGAAGTGGTGGTGAACCCATATTGCTTTTTCTGATGTTTCTTCTTCTTCTTCTCCTCCTTCTCCTGCCATTTTTTAAATGGATTCAGCTTCTTCATTTTACGGCCTAAGGTCCTGAAATTTGGTATGGAGGTACAGTGGGCAAATACCCCTAGGCGTTTTTTAAATTATTGTGATACAGGCTTTTAGAATGGTTTTATTTGAGTTTTTTGGCTGTGTTATAGCAAATGTATTACTGTGTTAGTGTACCACGTTTGGGCATGAGTCATCACAATGGAATGCAGGGCATCAACCAATAGGCATGCAGCTTTCCTCTATACTTCTTGCTGATTGGCTGTTGGGATTTAACTTGATTAACACCTGCACAGAGCATTTCCATACTGACAGTATGTCTGTATTCAAGTGTTTTGGTAGGTATTTCAAGCTTTCCTGCTCCAGCATTGGAATGCGGGGCATGGACGTTTTTTTTTTTTTGAAAATCAACAGTTTGCATTATGCAATTAAAAATCCTAACCAATAAAGTAGGGAATGGCTATCCAACTGTTGTTTTAGTTGTATTTTACTTCATATTATAGTTATATCAATGTAAATCATTGTTTTCCCTTGTGTTTCTCATTCTTTCCCTGCCATGTCGTAAAATGTGGTGAACCCATCGCTGTATTTGCTCCAAAGCAAATATTGGCCTTTCTAGTTTTATATGATTTGTTAACATTTCTCACATAAAAAGTGCCAGCATTTCCTTGTGAACAATGACTTCACTATTATTATTATATAAACACAAAGCCACTGTCCAAACCTGCATGTTCATCTGAAACAGATACAAGCTGGAGGTGAAGGGTCAGTATGTGAAGAGACTTCAGGAGGAGGAAGAGAGGGAAGCCAGGAACAGGGGTGAGTTTGACTGCATTGACTTTTACCTGAACTTACTATGGAGTATAAAAGATATAATGGCAATGTATGATGATCCACACTTCCTAAAATCTGAGTGGTGCAGGTAAAATTTGTCTGGTGCAGGTAATTGTCAATGTTACTTGCACCAGTGCAGGTATGCCTGCCTAAGTGCTGAGGCCAGTAACTGGTCCCTCTGTAAGAAGTCTCCAAACTTAACACTCCCTCAGAGCACTTTCTTCTGCAAAAAATATTCCTTAAAATTATGCAGAAAAAAAGATGTCAGGCCCTTTATGTCCTGTACTGTCAGAATGTTATAAGTCTTCCTTGTGTTTTACAGAGGAGTCAAGACGTCTTGCGGAGGAGAGAACCACCCAGAGCAGGGTGAAGGAGGAACTGAGGGAGACAACAGCCAGGCTGAAACAACTGGAGGTAACGATCATCAAATCCTGTCCAGTACAATGGTCAGCAGTTCTCAGCAATCTTGTAAAAAAGACTTTCATTAATTTTTATAGAAATGTTTACTTCAGATTGTTTGTATTGTTTTGGGTGGCAGAGATGTAGGTGTAGGTATACGTACATCTGTCTGTGGGTGTTTGTCTGGGCAGAGTAGGTTGAAAGCGCGTAGGTTCGGGAAAGATTGAATGACAGAATGACAGGTCAAAGAGTTTAGATATGGAAGTCTGAAATCTTCAATTTCTTTTTCATTATGTGAAGAAATCTTTCACTGGCAGTTGAAGTAGAGGGAGTCTAATGTTGACTGTTCTTTTCCCCCTAACATCTACAAGACATAGTTTAGTATCACCAAAAGAGCTGCACTTACCACACTGTGAGACACCTTAACGTGATGTAACCAACCGTTGATGCTATCCGTTCCAGAGAGACTTGGAGACAAAGGACCGAGACATGTCCTACACGACCAAGCAGAATCAAGTTTTACAAGAAAGGCTCAGAGAAGTATGGGCACAACTTTGCACCAACCTGAGTACTTCTGACAACAGGCTTACAAATACTGCAAATCGTGAAATTTTTTATCTGGTTTTATTTTCTTCCAGTGGGCCCCACTAAAGGATTTGGGTTGGCATTAGGAAGAGAATCCAGCCGTGAAAATCTTGTTTAAAAAAAAGACTTGTACTTGGTACTTGGTGCAAGCACGTGTAACCCCCAGTTGGGGAAAATGACGTTAAATTCGGTTTGAAAAAAAAAACAAAAAAAAGTGTCCTCTTGATTTTAAAAATCATGGCACTGGGAATATGTTTTTTGTGTCTCTGTATCATCATCATCATGTCAGATGTTCCCAGAACCAGGCCCTCTCCCTCCAATCCATTGTATCTCTGTATGTCTGGCACTATTTCTAGAAAAGCTTTCAAATTGAAACTGTCACTGAATTTTCCAGATCTTTGCTAAAATTTACTCAAAAGTGTTTTCCTTGTACATTTTCAAGGCTACCCCAGAGCACATGCAATCATAAAGTGTTCATGGTGGTTTTATTTTCACCTTTTTTATATGACACCACAATTTAATGTCTTTTGTATTTCTACTGTACAAAAGAATTTTTCAGTCATGAACTTCAAACACCACAAAAACTCATGCAGCAAAATATAACCATTACGAAAGTAAAATGCATTTTACAGTTACTGTATATTGACCACGGCTGTATCTGTATATATTATGCTGTATTTGAAGCCTGTTGTGTGTCTGTCTGTCCACTTGGGTTGGTGAAAAGATGTCCTGTTCGGTGTCTGAGTTGGTGGCTTTCTTCTGCTGGTGTCCAGTCCACAACTGTTACTGTTACTGTTACACGTCTCTGTCAATGTCACGTTACTGTAAAGTGTTTTGGTTTGGCCAGGGATTCACTTTGCAAAAAGTCAAGCAAATGGTTGCCTCTACCAGGCTTCAGAGGTGGCTGGAAAGAGTAGAAATTGGCAAGATAGACAGGTAATGCGCTAGGGGAGTCCAGCAAACTGTACTCCTTTAGCGGACCAACTCCCCTATTTGTGGCCAATTTCTACTCTTTCCAGCTGCTTCCAAAGCCCAGTAGAGGCTAGACAATGGCTCATCAATGCAAAATCATGAAAAGTTAGCCCTCCAAATCAAAACACTTATAATGTTACCATATTATTCATTTGCATTTGGCTTACCGTACTTCTAGTATAACTTGTTCCTCACTGACTAATCATGACGGTTGAAACAAAGAAATGCATGTCACTAACATCTCTTTAATCACAGATGAATAGAAACATCCTCAGCTTTTTTGTCATCTAAACACACTTATATGATGTCAACGTGCCAACACACTGTCAACCAAAGCACACAGTAATTTGATAAAGCATTTTCCTTAAAGTTTATAAGTTTGCAATTCTTCGTCTCACTACACCTTGTTGCCAGATCCTGGTAAAGCATTGCCTGATAGTATGAACTAAAAGTTTGACTTATCCACAGATGGGAGACCTCACACATATCAAGGAAGAGGCTGCACTGCTACAGAGAGAACTGGACTCTGCTAACAGGTTAGTAGTTATTCTTCTCATTTGGTATTAAATGGCTGAGTTGGTAGGCTAGAACTCGATCAAGAGGTTACTAGTTTGATCTCTAGCATTCATGACTGGACATTGTGTCATTGGGAAAGGTACTCTACATGGCTTTCCTCACTCCACCCAGGTGTAAAAAGGGTTCTGAAGCATTGCCACAGATGCAGCATTGCATATAAAGCTGTCTTGAGTTCATATTCTGAGTACCTGTTTATAGAAATAACAGAACTGAGCTATTGAAATTTTGAAAATTTTGTTTGCACAACTCATTGGGCTCATTTTTTTCTTCCAGGAAACTAGCAGAAATGGGTAATGACCACCAGCAAGAAAAGTCAAGTAAGTACCAATGAAGATGTCCCCAAAGTCAATGCTGACCTTAAAGGAGTTTAAATCAGAAGCTTTTGTGTGTTTCTCTCTGTTTTGAATTTATGGATGATACAAATATTGTATAAATTGTATCACTCACTCTGTACCACAATACCACCATTGTACCTTAGGGCTGGAAAAACAGCTGCAGGAGGAGAGGGAGAGGTTGCAGCGCCCCCCGGCAGACCTGTTGGTACTGCAGGCTGAGCTCCAGCGGGAGAGGGACAGACTCGGCCAGGAGAAGGCCGTGTACGAACACCAGAAACAGCAGCTCAAGAACGACCTAGACTCTGAGGTGGGAACAACATTCTGCCTTGGTTACGGCCACCCCTGTTAAAGTGCAGTACTCCAACCAAACCGGACCACATTTTGGTCAAACCAGGACACCACCAGTCTGTATTTTAACAGCAAAATCAACATGCAAGTTTATAGTTTAGTTAAGTCTTGATTTTGATGGTAAAATGCAGACTAGAGTTGTACTGGCTAGTCAGAATGGTTTCTCGTCTAGGCTAGATGTCGTCTGACGGTAAACCTGTAGATATACTGTACAGTACTGGCCAGATTCGATTGGACCAACTTGGCTGGAGGTGCACTAGGGTGATGGCACAGTCACATTTGTTGTAGGACGTCATATGATTTTGACATTGCAGTGTTTACTAGCAGGCTGAGTCAAAAATGTGAGCATAACTACCCATCTTGAAACCTGGTCTGTGTTTCAGGTTAGCAGGTAGGGTGGGAGTATAGTGGTGGATGGTGGAGGAATTAGGGCATTGGTGTTTTAGTTTCAGTGGTATATATAAGTCAGGAAACCTATCTTGAAATCTGTTCCATGTTTCAGGTGAGCAGGTATACTGATCTGCGCAGACGACACGACGAGCAGACTCGACTGCTGAAGCAGACAGAACGGGAGGTCGCTGACCTTAGGCTGGCTCTACAGCAGACTCAGATAGGTAAGTTTTATAGTTTTGGTAAAATTTTAAGCTGGCATTTCTAGAGTCACAGAAGTCACTGGCAAGGCCATAAAATTTTTGATCTCTTAAAAATTGAGTGATTCTGTTCTATGTCCTGTTTCCCTCCAGCCTTGCAGAATGAGATCTACAGAAATCCCAAACCTTCAGTCATTAACAGGTAAGCTTCCTGAAATCTTATCTTGAAAGTTCATCTATGTTGGTAGAAAACTTTAATTTCCAACACAAGAAATTGGACCTACCCAAATTTTTTACTGTACAACTTAAGTCTTTGTCAAGGAATGAGCAATTTATGATCCACTGCTCACCGAGTCACGTGTGTCATCTGCATAACGTGACATCACAGAAGCAGTGGATTGCTCATTCCTTGACAAAGACTGGAGTTGTATAGTTGAAAATTTGGGTACTGTTAAGTCCAACATCATGTGTTGAAAAATTATGGTTCAGACTTACTTAATCCTCTTCGCCTGTCCTAGAGCACAGGGCTTCAGTGAACGCTCTCCACCTCCCTCGGTCCCTTGCGATCTTCTTACCTCAGTTCAGACTTGCTTCATACTAAAAATTGCTGTTGTTGTCTTCAGGTTTTTATAAGTTTCAATCTTGTCTTATTCTTTCTACCCTCTTTCCAGCCACAGGTCCTCCACTCCATCCTCTGACGACGACTTACTCCGACCCGCGAACTCCGACCTCTACATGGACACCAGCCTGAGGAAGACCAGGGTGGATCCTGCCCTCCAATTGGTCGGCGGTTACCATAGCAACAGGATGAGTGGCAGGCCTGACAGGTCCCTGGGGTTTATAGAGGAGACGAAGCAGAGGTTTTTGGAGCTGGAGAGAGAAGCTGAGGTAAGGTGTTCCTGTATCTGTGTTATTGTACTTCCAGGTATGGAAGTAGCCTGACTTTCAACCCTTGCTTTTTGCCAGCTTCCCGATAGTCTACTCTTTGAGCGCCAGGCAAAGAGCTTATGTACACAGACTAGTATGGAAGTATTGTTTTGGGTGGCTGAGCTGTGTGTGTGTGTGTGTCTGTGTGCCCAGAAAGAGAGGGTTGATGACACATGGGTTGGGGATGGCTGACAGACAGAATGACAGGAGGCCAAAAGATCAGACACAGGAAATGGGGTGAACTTGAAGGTTATGAAAAACTCAAAATGCTTCCCGGAAGTCTGAACTCTTTGATTTCTTGTTGGATATTGAATGCCCCTTTTCACCTTGGATTCTAACTGGTGGTGTTTAACTATTACAAAATATCACACTACAATTATGCATCTAACTCTTATTAGCATTAGTCCAATTCAAGTCACCAAGGAGACCTGCAATTATTGGAGTCACACATCGCCTTCACACTCACTTTCTTGATGGCCAGATTGTTTTAAGAATTTTTGTTACTTACAGAACTTAGAGAAGACGTACCAGACCTATCAGCAGAGGATGGGCAACATCCCCTCCTTACCTCGGGACCCGGCACAGGGGATCATCGGTCGCCATCACGTGTCTCCCCCCCGCCCCACGCATCACTCATCAACCCCCCGCGCCGTGCACCATGTGTCCTGGGCTGAACCTCCTCAAACCAGACCTGCAGCAGCAGCTGAGCTAGGTAGGTGTTTGTTTCTTTGTCTCGCATAACTTGTATTTAAGTTGTAAACCACTTTGGGGCATAACATTAGTTTTTGACAGTAATTAATGGACCTTTCCTGATCAAACATGTTCTATTTCAAACATCTCGGTCAAACTCAGCACAGTAAGGGTCGGGGTGTAAGTAAAATGCATGGAGGCTCCTTCTTGTTTTACTTACCTGTGAGTGCCCAAGCTGTTTTTTTCTCATGTCATTTTTGTTCTGAGCTGTTGCATGTGATACATGCAGCCAAAACAGTGAAAAACCTGTCACAAATACACACACCCTGCTTCACACAGATTGTTAGACCCAACAGACTTCCCCAAAGTATGAGACCTCCAATTTCTTGTTGCTTGTTTGTGAATCCTAAGTTTCAATGCTTGAATCCCCCACAGGTGAGTCCTACACCAGCACGATCCACTCACCCATCCGAGGGTCAGATGACCACCCACGACCTTTGTCCTCCACGCCGTACAGACAAGATGGCCGTCTCCATGGCAACGCTTCCCTGGGGCTGTCAGAGGTCACGACCTGGAGTCCTGAGGAGCCAGCTCGCACACAGAGGTCAGAAGTCACGACCCCTGTACTGTAAATGCACTTTTATTCCCGGTGGCTTTATTTTGCAGTATGATGCAAAAGGAAGTTTTTGTGGTGTTTAAAGTTCACAGGTTAAAGAAATTCTGTAGTACATACAAAAATACAGAACACATACATGTATTTGTGGTGTCAGGGCAGAAGTATTGTTTTGGGCGGTGCAAGTTTAGGGGGAGTTTGTACGTTTGGGTTCCAGACTTTGCTTCAGGCAACATGATAGGAGAATGACAGATAACAGGAGGTCAGAAGACCGGTGGGAATATGTAGGAATTCAGTGGTATAACGTCTAATAACACTACATCATACTATCCCCTCTACAACTCCAATGAATACATTCACTAAGTCTGCACACTCTGATTTGTTGTTTCCAGAAGAAGAGATTCTGACCAGCCCAGAGAGTCCGTGCGTGCCCCGGCAGACCCCATGACTGTGGATGACCTGATTGCCCGGCCGGGAGAGCCAAGTGTGGTCGTGCTGCCTGGCAGTGAGACAGGTACGATTCTTTCTTTCTTTCTTTCTTTCTTTCTTTCTTTCTTTCTTTCTTTCTTTCTTTCTTTCTTTCTTTCTTCCTTTC